CGTGCAGCACGCAGACAGCACGCCGATGAAAAAATGGCAGAGATGTGATTACGTCAATCCCAACAATGTGAGCCGCGCTGGAAACCGAGAGATTGCGGTGTTCTGGGAGGAAGAGGTGCACCAGTACCAAGTGTCAATATCGTCGGACGATGCCAGAAGGGACGAAGCTCTCTGAGGTGAGGAAAAACGAAATAGGAGAACGGATTGGGGAATGAAAGGGATAGTTTTGATTTCTGGTAAAGAAATATTGTGGGATTTATATATTTTTGGATACATTTTTCTGTGCATACGGTGCGGATGCACCAGCACCAGGCGACAGTATATCGCACAGATTTCAGAACTGTCCAACACTATCGAACATAACAGTGGCAGAATAAATTGGGAAGTGGGGTTGTTTGGTTTCTGGTGAAAAACATTGGGTGATTTCTATATAGTGTGTTTATTGTGTGTGTGCATACGAGGCGTAATTGGAGAATTGCCCCGGTATGAGGGAATCATTCTGTTTGGCGCTGTCGCAGCACCACTGCATTGTCCATTTTCTTCTGTTTGTGTTCTAAGGCCCATCACGAAAAGTAGCATCTTTAAGGGATTGGACGATGCATAAGTTCTATTGAGGAAACAGTGTGCTCCGTGTGACCGCGTGTACTGAGGCGCCGCGTCATGGGTTGATGAGGATCCGCTTCTGCGTGTGGCTCTTTGGGTGATTACTGGCTCGGTGTGCGCTGTGTGTTGGCTGCGGGGCTGTGGCCGTGTCTCGTTGGCCTTGGGATTGAACTGGAGCAGTGGCGCTGTGTCTTTTCTCGTTCTTGTCCATTGGTGTGACTGCTGGCGGTGTGAGTTTGTTTTGTGGAGGCCGTCTCGCAGTTTACGCACGCAGTGTGCCACAACCGCTGGTAAAGGCCACGCCTTTCAGTATGGACTTTTTGCCGTTGTGCGGTGTGTTTGGGCATGCTTTTTATTATGCGCATGAGTGCCTTGCGTGTTTAACCGGAGCGCTGGGCGCCACCATCTGCCATGGCCAACTTGTATGGTTGAGCGCGTGTGCACGG